GATTCTTAGCTTAGTGATATCTCCAAAGATGCTTACTCCAAATAAGATCATATTCACAGGTTGTGGGAGTTTGAATATGAATATAACAAGTCTTTACAAAGACAGCCCTTCACTCCACTCTACACACATACTCCACAGTTGGGCTACTAGGGCTATGTAAAGCATCACTGCCTCCACCCAACATTTGAAGAGTACCAAAGGGTCTATCATCAGTCAAACCATTGTTAGTTTGGTCATAAATGTCCCCCAAAGGTACATGTGGGGGGAGGGGGAAGACATGGCAAGCAAGATGGCACTATTGGGAAGTGGTAAAAAGAGGTGAGATCTAGGGGGAGGCCTTCAGGTCATTGAGGTTGTACCCATAAAGGGTATGGGATACAGTAGTGGGATCTCAGCCCCCCCATCCCTTCTTCCTTTCTTTCCCTTCCCTTCCCTTTCTTTTTCTTTTTTCTTTCCTTCTTCCTTCCTTCTTTCTTTCCTTCCTTCTCTCTCTCTCTCTCTCTCTCTCATTCTCTCTCTCTTTCTTTCTTGATCCACGGCCATGGTATGAACTGTTCTGCTGTGCTACATGCTTCTATCGGACAGACCTGACAATAACAGGGCAAATTCTCAAGCCATGATCTATCTATAAATCTATTTTCTTTATAAGTTGATTTCTTGAGGCATTTCTTACAGTGATTGAAAATTCACTAACACATCAATAGCCTGAAATCATTGTCAAATCTGAAAGACACACTGGTCCTTGTGAAGTCTTTGTTATGCCTGGTGTCCTACGCATACTCTCATTGTTGGACCCAATTGAATCCCTTGGTACAGAAGCTGTGATTTTACCATCACAGTTGTTTGTGAGGCCCAGGAAATTGTTTCCTGATCACCTTTGGCTGGCACTGTATGGCCTAGAAAGAAGAAAATGTGAGACACTCTGCATTAGGTTATAAGGGATCCTGAATATAATCTGCTTTTGTCATTTTTAATCAAGCTACAATGAGCATTAATTAATTAAAACTTACTAAATGATACAACTTAAAAAATAGAAACAGCATAGAAATAAAAATGACCATTTATTGCATAGTTATCATGTAGCTATTAGTAATATAAAGATAAATAAGTACTGGCTCTTGTATTTTATTATCTCAGTCTGTTGGAAAGATCCATCTAAGCAAATTAACTATAAATCAGCAGTAGTCACTGTAATGAAGGAACAAATGAAATACTGCAGAGGCAAAGAACAGGGAGCTACTATTTGTTTTGGGTAACTAGAGGTAGCTTCAAAGAGATGGAATTTGAATTAGTTTTTGAAGGATGAGTAGGATTTTTCCAGGGGGAGGACATACCAAGGTGAGATGAAACAAGTACAGAATCTTAACAGCAATACAATGGTAAAAATTCAGTCATTTCAAGAAAAGTGAGATTTCTACAGATGCAGAAGGCAGACAAAGACTGGTTAAATACATTCAGCAAATAAGACTTGACCCTAACTATACATGTAATAAGGACAATGGAGCCACTACAATTGGCAGAATCTGGGTCCTTCTTTTAATAACGGGGTGTCTGTTCTTTTCAGGTGTTAATCAGAAATGTGGTCTGGATTTTCTCCAGGACAGGCTATAAATTTATATTTCAGCCAAAGCTTTGCTCTTTTCGATTAATATATAATGTCCTTGAAATCCCTCAGTCCTTTTATGTTTTATATTTTTCCTAAGAAAAAACAACCATCTCTAAAAAAGCTACATGATCGTGCAGGATTTTGCTTATTTTCAGCAAAGGTCACAGCATTTCTGAGTAGTAAACACCATTACTGGATTCTTCCAGTGTCTGGGGTGTTTGTCAGGCCTGGTTCTTTCTGAAATAAATGACTAGAGCTCCAGAGCTGGAGGACAGCTGTGGGCCTAGGAGGCGCCTGGACATCTGGAAGAGGCAGATGCATACGGTTTCTCATCAGCCACAGCCAGAAGCGAGTCATTGTAAACCCCTCCATTTTGCTTGAGTCACCCACACTTTGGAGCAAGTTTGGAGTGTGTCTGGCCTACTGGTGTCCATTTGGCTTTGGAGACTAAATGGATAACAGGAAATTTATTCGAGAAGGTGCTGTCAGGAATCTAGGATGACTTTCAGTTGCAACCCAGCAGCACCTGAATTGTATCCCTAGCTTATTCCTGTGATAATAGCAACAATTGATATACTTGTATGAACAAAGCTTTATTCTTCAGAGAATACTCAACCCTTGGGAGAAGCTAGCTAATTAACTTCTGCAGCGTTTCAGATTAGACTTGGCATGTTTTATGGCCTTGAAGATAACAGTGATTATTAAGTCACAAAATATTAAATCACCTTTGCAAGGATTCCCAGGAAAGAAATGACAGAAAATAGACAAAGAACACAGGGCTTGGACTTTCTGAGAAGTGTTTACACAATTTCCCCAGAGTGGTACCTTCACAGGAGTGATTACCCAGTTAGACAGGAGGAAAAAATTTAAAAGACAAAGCAATATTATCAACAGAGACATAACATACTTCAGTATTCAAAGGAAACTTTAGCTATGCCAATAGGAAGTCATCTGAAGTTCTTAGAAACACAGAGAAAATGTGTGGGCAACCTAAAATCAGAGTTTAGAAAAGGCCTTTTCTTCTATAGTATTGTGTCTATAGACTCAGATCCATGAAGACTCACATTTGGGTGTTGTTCCTATCACTTCTGAGCTGTCTCATCCTTGGCAATATATCTTGCACCTTGGAATAACCATTCTCTTAATTATGGAATGGTTAGTAACTACCTGACAGTATATTTTGTCCCCCTCTGAAGAACCAGCTTTCAATGTCAAGACACCACATCTTTTACTTGAATCACTACAACTGATTTCTGACTGTCCTCTTCTGTTTTCTTTTTGCATTATTGCTCCTCTGCTATCTCTTTGTCTCTTCCATATAGCTACTGGAATTGTCTCTTAAAATAATAATTCAGAATATCTAATATTTTGACTATCCTTTTCTACCAGCACCCATTTCTTCCCATCTTTAAGAGGCCTTGCCTGATCTGGTCCTTGTTCATCTTTGTGTCCTCACCTTGCCATTAGATCTTTGTTCTTGTGCTCTAGCCACATTGTCTATTTTTGCCTTTTGACCAAAAATGTCTGTCCGTCCGTCCGTCTGTCTGTCTGTCTGTCTGTCTGTCTATCTATCTATCTAATTGTGCCATATTGGGGCTGAAACTCAGGGCCTGAACACTGTCCCTTAGTTTTTTCCATTGAAGAGTAGTAGCACTCCAGCCTACTTCGGACTTTTTGCTTGTTAATAAAAATCAGAGTCTTACGGACTTTCCTACTTAGGCTGGCTTTGAACCACCATCCTCAAATCTCAGCCTCTTGAGTAGCTAGGCTTACAGGCATGAGTCACTGACACTTAGCTCAACAACCTTGTTTTATCACTAGGCTTTTTGCCTCTTCCCAATTTCTTCCATTTAGTCTCTTAAGTCAGGCCAAGCATTATCTGTCCAGAAAGGCCATCCCTGATCACTCAATCTAAAGTAGCATTCCTTGTCACTTTATAACAATTTAGTATGTTCAGAGCCATTACCACAATGTGAATTATCTTATCTACTTTAAGGTTCCAGCATTGCCACTTTCTTCACACTAGACTAAGCTCTGGGAAGGACAATGTTCTGTTTACTTTTTTGAGCCATGCATTTCCAGAATTTAGAACAATGTGTTACAATCTGACATGGACTAGGCACTCAATGAATATTATTTTCTTGGATGAATAATGAATGGTTTTAAGTGCAATAATGCTTATGAAAGTGTTTAGCTCACAAAATGCTTACATTTTTCTTTCTGCATGTTTGTTTTTGGAGACATTCTTGTTTTAGGATAAAGTTTTCCTGGCCAATGGCAAATAATGGTAAGAATGATTAATATTTGTGGAACTTTTAAATAGATGCAAAAACGGTTCTAAATGTTTTCAATGATCTGACTGATTGGCCAACCCTCTAAGATATGTATTATTATAAATGTAATTATCTGAAGGTGAGGGAACAGGTGGGCATGGGGCTGCTGTAATCCCAGTACTTGGAGGCTGAGGCATAAAGAGAGTTCCAAGTAAGCCTGGGCTATATGGCTACATGGAATGATAATGGAACTGAAGAATAGAGGGTTTGTGTGGCAGAAAAACAAACCTATGAAGTGAAGAAAGTAGAATTTAGATTCAGGCAATTTGATTCTACACCTCTGAGAAGTTCAGGAAGCTACTTAAAATCCATATTATCTTAGCTTACCAGATCTTTCACTTTTCAACTCTCCTCAACTTTCCTGTCATTTTTCATTCATTCATTCTTTTACTCATTTATTTGTGTATTCATTGAACATCAATCTATTTCTGGGCACTGCCTTACATCTTGGACCTAGGACTAAAAAGGCAAAATGACCCAGTGTCTTTCTCCTGTTCTTCTGAGGGAAAGGAGAGGAAAGAAGAGATAGGTAGAAATGTGAACATCCTTATTTTACCAAGGCTCTCAGCACAGTTAAACATTGGACAAATTCAAGCTGAAAATTTACTTATTGCATATTTATAAGGTGATTATTTTGTTGCTTTGTATGTTCCTCCCCCACGGTATAACCCCTGTTTTCACTGTATTTGATATTGGTATAATTTGTGGAGGGGAAGGGAAAAAACAAATCGTTTAAATAGGGATACAGGTTGACCCATTGCAACAATGAGATGTACGAGACGCTATAAATAAAGTTCCTTGAAAAACGAACTTTACAATCTGGGGGGGGGTGTAATTGTGGAGGTGAGAGGGAAGGGATGGTAGGGGAAAAACAAAGGAGGAGGCAACAATGCTTGATAAGAAATATACTCATTACCTTGCTCATATAACTGTAACCCCTCTGTATTTTCACAATAAAAAACATTAAAATTTACTTATTAATCCAAAGATTGTTATTTTATAACAGTAATGGACTTCGGTATTTTAGGTATTTTACTTCAGTATTTTAGCTTTTTACATACCTGATTTCTCCAAACACTGTGCCAGCTTTCAGAGTAACCAGAACCTGAGCACCATCAGGGCCTCCAAGAACGTGGATTTCTCCTTGCTTGATGATATACATTTCCCTTCCAATTTCTCCCTGTGGAACAAACATAAAGAGGTAGTAATAGCACTTGATTCGTGAAAATTATACCACACATTTTGAAATATACACTCTTCTAGAAGAGTGACTGCAAAGGAAGGAAGCAGGAAACATCACTGTAAAAGTAATTTTCTGAAGACTTGAGGTGATGGCTGACATTGGTTGAATGTATCACGTGAAGGAAATTGTCTGGAAGACAATAGTTCCCACTCTGTGATCTCCAAGTCACCACTTGACATGTGACAGTATTTCAGTCAGCACACTGCTCCAGGAACAGGCATGTCAGAGGAAGTAACCAATTGCATATATGGTTAATGCTGGATTTGGTGATCTCTGCAGTGCTCTGAAGAAGGTGTCTGGACTCTTCACAAGCCATGAGTTGTAGTCATTCATAGGTCAATTTTATTCTTCTATCTTTAACATTAATGGTCTGATTTTGGGACTTGAGGCATAGGAGACCTTTCGGATATTATTTCAATTTCATATTTGGAGAGATTGTTAATATACCAGGTTGTTTTTAATGTTCTTATTTCTCTGCGAAGTCTCCTGGAAGTGAGGTTCATAGCTGGGTGCTGATGGCTCACGCCTCTAATCCTAGCTACACAGGAGGCTGAGATCTGAGGATCACAGTTCAAAGCCAGCCCAGGCAGGAAATTCCCTGTGAGACTCTTATCTCCAATTAACCACCGGAAAACTAGAAGTGGTGCTGTGGGTCAAGTGGTATAGTGCTTGCTTTGAGCTGAAGAGCTCAGGGACAGTGCCCAGGCCCAGAGCTCAATCTCCATGACTGACCAAACAAAAACAAAACAAAACAAAAAAGAAGTGAGGGTCATGATCCATGTCCAGTACTTGCTAATTCAACTCCTTGAATGTTCACATAGTTACTGGCTAGTGGTATTATTCTGTGTACATAAAGTAGTATGAAACAACAAGTCAGCATTGTATAATATAAATGCATTGATTTTCGATGTGCACTCAATACCTGGTTTAGAGTCTGAACTACAGTTCTGTTAGGTAGGTATGTGATCAGTCCCATTTGAAAACTCTGGATCTTAGATGAATTTCTTGAGCTGGAGATATTTTGGTCATGTTTCTGTTATCTATTGAGGAAAAAAATGTAGCTGAGTATCCTTCACAAAAGTAGAACCTAGTATGCCTATGCTGGAACGCTCTAGTCTTTTTCATGTACATCTTTTTGTCATTATTCCTGACTGTATCTTTGGGTACACATTTCTTAAGCTATACACACAGATTTATGCTGAATTATATGAGTACGTTGAGTAAATTGCCAAATAAAGAGTGACTGTGGAGTCCTTGGGCACCTCTCTTATTGCACTTTTTAAAAAAGGATAAGCATGACTTACAAGAACCTTTATTACACTAAGGTCAGGAAAGTCTGGTTAAGAATAAATAGGTCAGTTTGCATAATAGTAGATGAAATACTTAGATAACAAATCCTACATGTCAGAGCAAAAATATTAATCACTCCCAGCTATTGCTTTGGCTTGAAACTTGTCCCCCACATTCCAACTTAAATTCCAAACCTATAATTTATTAATGGCATTTGGAAATGAAACATTTGGGAAGTGATCAGGTCAGGAGCTCTGCCTCCATGACTTGATTAATCCATTCATAGATTGATTTTCACAAGATTGGCTTTACTACAGAAGCTTTCTTGAAAGTTTGTTCTGTTTTCTTTTTCTTTTCTCATGTGAGGTCAGGTCATGATTTAACAAGAAGGCCCTCAGCCGTAGTTAGCAATATGCTTAGAAGGTCTTGAACAAAGTTGCAAGGCTAGCAGTTGACATCATAAGAATTGGCAACACCTATGTCACCTAACAGTAGAATACATGCTTATACAACACATTCAGTGATGAATCCAAATATCAGGACTGATTTCTTAAAAACAAATGAAATAGTTACACGTACTTTTTTATTTTTAAGGCAAGATGTTTGGAAAATTAATTTTCCAAGAGGTACTCTGAGATGTAATGAGGAAGACAGGGTCATATTCCTTATTTTTTGCATGAAGTAGTTCTCAAGAAACTGGAATGATTTTTTGAAGGCAGTTATTACAACTGACTGGAGGTGAAAGTACATAATGGGTACTTAAATATAGTTCAGCACTTTTAATTATTTCTTAATGATCATTTCAATAATTTTCCAAGGAGATCTAGCATAATCAACGAACCAAAACTTCCACCATTTCTTGCATATTTCTAGGCTAATTTAAGCCTTTCCTGCAAGTCTAATTAGCATTCAAATGAAGTAGACTTCCCTCAGAGAGTAAGAGCTGACAGCATGTGCAAAATAAGATCGAACTTAGCTCTTGTGGTTGGTTTATGCAGTAATTTGGAGAAAGTGTAGAAATGCAAAAACTTCAAGAAGAATGAGGTAAACCTTAGTGAGAGTACATGTGTGAATTTCAGGGTTCCTATAAGAGAAGGTCATTTTCAAGGTTAGTAGAAAGATTAGTGCTTTGTACAGTGTAGTTTTTGGACCACAGCATGTCTTAAGAGTTTTTTTAAAGGTGAAATTTTCAGGTCTAAATGCAAGGATATTGAATCAGAATCTCTGGGAATGAAATCCCAGTAATTTGTACTTTAAGAAGGTCTCTGGGTCATTTCTATACGACTACATAGCATCCAGAGAAAATTGCCCAGGTAGTCCTGAAGCTGTCTAGCCTTTTGCCCAGTGACTGAAGAAAATCAAAGTTTTCAGAGGCCAATGAAGAACCATTAGAGCATGCTGTAGAAGGAGCTATGACAGATAATATAAGCCAGTAAACTTTACCCAATAAGTTTAGTACAAACTCACTCTCAAACCCTGCCACTTTCCAATTATTTGGGAATTGGTGCTGTAGCACAAATGGTAGAGCACTAGCCTTGAGCTGAAGAGCTGAGGGATGGTGGCCAGGCCGAGTTCAGGCCCCACAACAGACAAAAAAAAAGAAAGAAAGAAAGAAAGAAAGAAAGAAAGAAAGAAAGAAAGAAAGGAAGGAAGGAAGGAAGGAAGGAAGGAAGGAAAGAAGGAAGGAC